CAATAATTCTCAAGGGATTGAATGCAATTACAGCCCAATCATAATCATAAACACAATCGGCTTCATTCATAAACTCATGAATGATATAACTTTTACTGTATATTGTATTAAATTTTAATAGTTTTTCAAACTTTTTTTAAACCATTCATTAGGTTTTCATATATATGTATTTATATATTTTACATTGTCAATTCACTGTATTTCTATGCCAAAGATGGATGTATTTCATTAAAATTAATAAAAAAAAACCCAAAATTTATCTTGCCTCTTGCCCCCTCCCCTTTAATAGAAAGAATTATCCCGTTAAAAAATGGAGCTTATTTAAAACGTTTATCTCATACTTTAGGGGTGTTTTCAGTCATAATGTTGACTTGACCTTGTTAACCTGCTTAGCCTTAATTAATAAAACGATTTGAAAAGCAGGACATGTCAAAAATACAGCGTTTCATGTGATTTCATGCACTTGAAAGCCATAAATCCATAATCGCACTTTGTTAATACAGTTTTCTTGTTCAGTAGTTACAAATTAAGCTTTTTAACAGGGTTCGTAGCGGTCTTTGAAATCCTTGAAAGTCTTTAAACTGGAATGCAGGTCTTTGAGGTCTTTGAAAAGTCTTTGAAGTGTGTGAAGAAGCGAAGAAAGTCTTTAAAAGTCTTTAAATCAGTCTTTAGTGAGGAATTGATTATACGATTTCCTAGTTAATAAAGTAGATTGATTGAATCAAGATTTTCGCAAATATCGACGAAAATACGCATTTTAGGATGTGATTTGACGGGACTAATTACTGGGTAAAAATGGTGCTTACACTCGCAATTTTTCGACAGCTGATTGCTCCCAAAGGTCTTTGAAAAGTCTTTGACAATAGGCAGCTCAATAGTTTTTACCCCTTGGCTTAGTCTCATTTAAATCATCACATGATGAATATTGATGATATTTGAAACTTGGTCAAGCACAATAGCTGAATAAGTGTTTTAAGCTATTAGAAACCATACAAATATTATTTTAGTCTGGTTTGTGCTATTTTTGTTGTCTAATTTGAACTCAGAGAGAGAAGTCATATCGTGGTTCTAGAATTTGCTTTCTGTAAAAAAAGTCAGACAGATGCAAATGTGTGTTGTTAGTGTATTAGGAGTGAAATAAAAATAGACGTGTTTTTCTATTTTTATAACCTGTCCACTGGCTGAATGCGAATTTTACGCATTCGACCAGCCACACTTTGCCTGTTGAAAACACCGCGTCGTGATTTTATAAAACGTTTGTAACAAGGGACTCATAGTCATTGCTCCATTATATTGAAAAGCGCCATTCCTTCAGCCGGATGGACGCACAAGGATCAAGTTACACGTGGTTACTGTTTCATTTTTAAAGTTTGTCCAATTTTATCAACCTTCTGAGCGTTTTGAAAGAAAGCCAGAAAGTAGTAATAACATTTTGTCGTATTAATATTTGTAAATTACCATAAGGCATGATCATTTTTAGTAACAGCTAGTGAGTACACCATAATAAGGAGGCGGTAGTTTTAGTGTAAACTATTTCTAGTTTTAAATTATTAATTTACAATTCCTTTTAATATTAGGTTAGGTTCAGTGCGGTTTTGATAAGGAAAATGTAGTTTGGTGAGTCTGCCAAGAAATGTAATTAGGACCAAAAACTTGAACCACTTCGGAAATTACGTTTCAACACTCGAAAATGATAAGCTAATAAAGGAGTTTATCTATTGTTCAAGAATCGAGGGTCGAGAGTATGGAAACGAAGGGAAAATATCGAGGGACGAGGGTCAAAAATCACAAAAAAAAGTGAGCAGTATTGCAGTATTGTTATATGTACACTTTTAAAACCAAATAATCGAACTTTTCACGCACATAATGATTAATGTTCTCATCTCGTGTTCTTATTGTACAGTCCTTATTTTACCCATACCCTCGACCTCTTACCCTCCACACACGACCAATACTCAATACTAATAGATAAGTTCCTTATTGAGCCATCTGAAACATTTCCTTTTGCGCACAGAAATTAAACCTTTCCTGATAGCTAATATAATTAAATGCTGCGTCAGAGCAACAAGGAAAACAACATGATAACGCCGCAAAAATTTGCTCACGTTTATCAAATCATGTCATATTGACGCAAATGTTCGGTGTACATGGGGCTGAGTCTTCCCGCGAATTGTGTGGGCTAAACAATATCACATTACGCTGTCAAAACTAATGCGTAGTTTAAATTAAATCAATGGTGAAGTGTTTGTTCTTAAGAAAACATGTCGAGGAACTGAAAGGAATCTTAAAACACTCTTCGTATTTTCAAAAGAAATATTGAATTTTAAAAGTGGCGCAGCGGAATATAAGGTGTGAAATAGGTGTGTTAAATACATTTGTATCATGCTTGATTAGTAAACAACAACGTCAGCTTGAAACCATATAAACAAAGGATTAGGGAGACTTAATGTACATAAGTCAACGAAAGACATCGAGTTAAATAGAACAGAATTTTTGGAACCTGCGTGCGCGCTATACGTTGACAAGTGTGTATCTGGTTAATCGTAACGTTTCGTGATAAGCACATTACACACGCCGCTATATGATGATTCAAGGCATTCTACGCACCCACGCTAGTAGCGAACCACGCACGCACATCGCCGCAGAAAAGTTGCAAAGCCAAGGCGGTGAAAAAAGACAAGTCGCTAACACCACGCTACGCGTCAAAATGAAGGTAGTAAAAAAGACGAAGAATTTGAGAAAAACAAATGGTGAAATTCAAACCGATAAGATGGGTCGAGACGTGATGAGTACATCTCAAAGCAGAGCTCAAAAAGCCACTGATAAACAGGCCGCTCTTCTGCAAGTCCCAAGTGATGAGCGCCTACGACGCCGACTTTCAGACTCTTTGGAATTTGGTAAACCAGCACCGCGCGTTCGACGACGCAGCGTTTCGTTCGACCCGCTGACCGTGTTCAAGACAGCTATTTTAGAAAACGATGTTGACGCAGCAAAGAGCGTACTCGTTTCTGGAAAGGTTAACGCGAATTCAACCGTGGATGGTGTATTACCGGTCATTTTAGCTTCGAAAGAAGGATGCGCTGAGTGCTTGGAGCTTCTGATCGAGAAAGGCGGCAGTATAGATGTTTGTGATAAGCGCGGATTCACTCCGTTGGAACTCGCGGTGCAAGGAGGGCATTTTGATTGCGCGCAAGTGCTCATCGCGGCTGGAGCGAACGCGAATTCCATACGTGACGGATATTTTGATGAGAGTATTGAACATGGAAGACATACAACTGGTAGAAGTAGGTCACGAACATTCTAGAGTAAAGACACGTTGATAGACCGTCACCACGAATACTGTACATATTTTAAATTGTACTGCGTGCGTAATGTCATGGTGCGCTCCAGTAATAAAGGAATTATTACATCTAGTTCATTGTTATCGATTGTGTCAGGGTCTTAGCTGGGATTATAGATTTTGAAAGTGTTCCTAAATTTCCAGGGGGTATGCGTGCCGAATGCGCAGAATGGCCGAATTCCAGTTCCAGCTATGCTCGTCAACTATTATATAGATTATATGCCTGTGTTCTGTACTTTGCAACCAAATCATGCAAGGCAAGGATACGCTTATATTCCGCATCGACATTACAGTCTGTTATTTTTGCAACTCTTGGGGGCATTTAAAGGCATTTTAACACCATAGGGTTCCCATTATACCTATATCCATCTAAACATAAAAACATCATGGATTGCTCGTAACAAATTAGATTAAAAAAAAAACTACGATATACTAGGAGGAAATTTTTTCTGTCCTAAGTAAAACTCTATTTTATGAACCTACACGGCTTTATATAGAAGAAGCGCGTTCGTTTTATCTTACCGTATTTTCCCATTTTGGCCGCGCTAAAATGGCCCAACACGGCCTCCTAGCTAAGACTTTAAGGGTCAGTGTAGACCATGAAACCTACAAGAACAGTGCAAGTGGCAACGACCATAGGGTGGGGGTATGAATTGAGTGGAGGTTCGGCAACTCTTTTTTCTCAAGAGACTCAAGAGGTACTTCACCAAATTACATGTAATAACGTTGACAAAGCTTTTTCAACTTTGAAAGCCCGATGACATATTATTCAAGAAAATCTGGATCACGTCTAAACCAAATAGTTATTAACAAGCTTGAAATAAAATGCATAGTGCGAATTGTCGCCGCTGTCATAAACTTCACGCACTGACACAAAATTGTAAATAATCCACCCACGATGACTCAAAATTTTGAGCAAAATTACTCCAATTTATTATGCGCAAATTTACATGAACCAATGTTGTATGACGTTTGAAAGAAATCTGATTCACCCAACATTGGTTTTAAACCATTTTAATAATCTTGGTATCAAAGTTCTTAGCTTGAATTTTGGGACCACTGTTTTCGTATTTTTTGGGATACACCCTGTATTGCTTCACGAACGGCGGCGAAAATCCCCTGTTTGAAACGAATCTTAAATTAGGCGTGAATAATATCAAAGATAATGATCTCACAATAGAGGAGTCGGAAAGATCTTGAAAGTTTTGAGTGTCATTGTTATTAAATCTAGTTGTAATTAAACGAGATAACAGGTCACCTCGCGGCAATCGGGAGTTAATTTGATCATATAGTTAATAGAAATATCATTTCATCTGAGAAGATGCATCTGTGCCATGACAGAGACATGATTTGCCGGGACGAGATGTGAGGAGGGGATGATTTTTTTATTATTATTATTATTATTAAAACTTTATTTACACACGGTATTCTCATCAGGATTTAACATGCAACTAACTAAATTGGATAAATTACAAAAGTAGAACCACGCTAAAGTAAATAGAAAATATAATATCTGCTTTTCATGAGGGCCGTGTACTAAGCTAATATAACAATATATACAAGGAAAGTTAAAATAATTTGGCACAGCCCGATCGGAAATTTATCAAGTTATTTGCTTGCCGTAGCCCAATCGGAAGACTGTTCCACAGCACCGCACCACTATAGCTATTCTTGAGATAGTTTGTGCGGGGCTTGGGAACAGCTAGTTTGTTCTCAGTGTTTCTCAGCGAATAAGGATTAACACTGTCACGGTTTACAAACTTTCCAGCCAAGTTTCTCAATTAATGTATTGAAATAGGCCACGGTGCACGATTCAACAAAACCTACATTATTTTGGTGGCGCAGGCATCAGAGCAAGAGTCTTTCACCTCTGAGTTCGTGGGTTTGATTCTCGCTACGGACTCATGTGTAAAGAGTCAGTCAACGCTCTGTCGAAAGTCGTGGGTTTTCTCTGGGCGCTCCGGTTTCCTCCCACAGGGAAAGTTGACAGGGTGGGTTAGGATAAACATAGTTAGGAAAGTAATATCACAATTGTTATAAAGATAATTAGTCTAGGCTATATGTAGGTAATACAAGTAAGCAGAATACTTGATGTAATCTCTTACTGAAAAGCCCCGTAGGGGAGTACGAGATATTCTCTACAATGTACGTATGACTTCTGTTTAACTGGCATTTGATTGTACTTTGGTTTATTAAGCCTAGTGGTTATTTTACATCCCAGGGCCTTGGTGTGAGGGCGGGGGGAGAGAAGAGAAAGCCATTTTTACGCCTGTACTCTAAAAGCGCTTTCACACTCAGAGTGGAGGTTCAATCTGAGCTTCCTTGAGTGTCAGTGCTGTTTTTGAATAGCTGGAGGGTTTACTGCAGGCATGTTTGTCACAACCAGCGAGACGGTTATCAGTTCCTTTGTCTTTTCTTCATGAATTATATTAATGAGTTTTTTTGGAAATTTTAATAAAGTCAAACCTAATCCATCATTCATCCCTCAGCATCAGTCAACATGACCAAACATGGTGACATTGATGTTAAAACTGACCCAACCAACAAGGTCAAACGATGTTCGACCCGTGTGGTGAATCTCGTATACTTCGAAAACAACTCTAAGAATTTCCGAAAATTCTTAAATGAATCCTTCAAAATTCCATATAAAATCTGTGAAAATAGCTAAAACTTTTCACATTCACAATTTCTAACTAAATCAAGCCGACCCTAATATCATGATACAGTACATTCTACGGAGGCAGGCCTAGCAAATAATTGCCAGATTTTTAAGTAGAATCTGCCCAATCAAACACTAAGTAGTGAAAGGGCTGCAGCCACGCCCCGTCTCCCAGGCTCATGGGGAAAGGCCTGGGTACTAGGGTATGTAGAGACCACTGACCAATCAGAACACAACAGCAACATTCTTTTATTAATAGTAAAAGATACATGATTTATTTTAATTTGTTTACTATATATTGAAATCTCTATAGTAAGATATCTATATTAGACAAAAATGAAAAGCTCCCAGGGGGCTTTTTTACTGCAGTCATGTTTGGGTGTGTCTAGGTTATTCAAGGTGGCGGGGAGGTGGCAATTAAGAAGGGTGAGGTATTATTTCTCCTAAAACGTAGTAAATGGGAAGTGCAGTAAATCATCGTGAATTCCCAGACTAGTTGATAAAACGTTCTGTTAACGTTCACGGAGAAGGTTTTTGAAGAAAAATTACATACTTTTTACTAACCAAAGCAAGTGCACCATTTGTATGGTGGGCAGGGAAAAAACTAAATATACTTTCTGGAAAATTTGTATCATACAGTAAATATGAAAGTTGAAGTTTGGCAGTTTGACCAGACAAATATTGTATCAACGTCTTATTGTCACCATAGTCCTCAACATGACCGATGATGGTCTTGCTGTCGTGGTTGTAAAATAGACTGCCATAGATATGGCCACTTTCACTTGGACGAAATTTGACAGTCGTTTTTAACTGTCCTTCTGCGGAGAAGATGTAAAGCACATTTGTATCTTTCTCTGATTCAGTCCACTCATTCCACTGCCATGTTGTGAGTATTATTTCATTATCACAAGAAACAGAAACTGACTGTTGTAGACAATTGTCAGGATCAATCGGAAGAGCTAATTCTGAACTGTTAATCAGCTTTCCTTTGCAGTTACATGAATATACCATTATTTTGTGCTCATGTTTGAAACAAATAACAATATTTTTGTTATTGCTGACAGTGATGCATTCAAAGTCTGGCACCCCTTGAAGAAATTCTAAAGTGTTATGATGCGTATTTCTTCCATCTCTACTGTAGACTGACAATGTGTATCCATCTTTGTCGTCACGCGACAGAACGTACACTGTGTCGTTTTCATCGATAGCTATACCAATGAATTCACTGCTGGGCTGAGGATGTTCAGTGTTGTCTTTCAAAGGCGAAAGACAGTACGGCTGCAGCTTACCTGTCGTTGTGTCGAGTTTTTGAAGACCACGTCTGTCATCTGTAAAATAAATGAGATCTCCTTTTGTGGTTAACACAGGTGCTTTTTGAACACTGATAGCTTCGTAAGTGGTCGTTGTTGCACCGGTTAACAGATCATCGTCAGATACTACAATGTCCCAGGGTGGTGTTATTTGCATTTCTTTCAGATTTGGTACATTCTCTGTCTTGAAATGAATTGGATGGACAACTCGTTTACCACATTCTATCATTGGCCAATCAAAAACAGCCATTCTTCGCTTTGTAAACTTCGAAATAAAATCAGCCAAGATTAAATTGATCAACGTTACGGTTTTCACGATTTCCACTCGTGAATCTTTCTTTAAACCTGATTTGAACCATGATTTTATTCCTGTTCCAACGTGCACTGAAAATATTTCCTTTATGGCTGGCATATCATGCAATTCTCGCAGGTAGTGCAAACAGTCAGTTGCCGCGACTTCCGGGCGGTCCAAATGTTCCAGTATTCCGCTTGCGATGCGTACTTTACTCGCTAAAATTCTTTCGTCTGTACTCAGTGCTGCGTTATGAAATGCTCGTGTTGCTTCTTCCCCAGCCTTTTCAAAGGATTTTTTAGCCAACGCAAATAGTTCATTTGACTCGATCGTTAATTTCCCAATGACATTGGCCAGCACAAGTGCGTCTTCTACGGCCACCGACTGATGAGCTGGCTTCTTGTCGGTTGCAGTTGCCCCAGGGCAAGCTTTCGTTGTGCCTTGTGATTGCTTTCCGTCATTCGGTAATTCAGATGTAGATGGGTTTTCACTCTCAGAAGATTCGCCAAAAGACATGTTTAGACGTTGGATGCCTTGTTGTAGGAAACTAATACTGGCGCAAAGATCTTTTCTCGAAATAGCATCAAGTTTAGACTTAATGTCGTCCAATTCACGAACAATCAAACCTCGAAACTTTTGATCAGTGAGACCTCCATCTTGGAGTTTCTCAGCGCCATAAGCACGAAGTTTGTTCGATATTAAACCGAAGGTAACCTTCAACAAACCTGTTATCACTTCAGACATCGTATCACAACTAAGTCGAGTTAAAATATGAGGAAATATTTTGATGACAAAGACTGTTTTGAAATGGTCCCATACACAGGACATTCAAGTGATTTAATTAACTTCCTATGACGTGTTTGCAACATTCCAAATATTTATTAGTTGGTTGACCTTGTTCGACATCCTTGGTACAAACCGGGTGACGCAATAATATTTTGCTAAAACAAAAAACATCTAGCAATCAAATTTTCGAGATCATTGAATATGGTCTTTAGTGAAGCGGAAGATTATAAACAGAGGGAAGATTATATACAATTTTACGCCGATTTTCCACTTCATGTTTTCGCCGGAAATTTTCGCCGACGGTGAAATGTTTGTTTTATACTTTATTTTGCCATTGGAAGAGTTTGACCTGCTGCTATACAGTCACTCAAAATTATTAACTTCTGCTAGACGAAAGTTCATCGACGGAAGTAAACAAGAACCAAACACACATCAAGCTAAATTTTCTAGATGAAGGTGGAGGCGTCCTGAACATAAAGGTTTTTCGATTGGGGCTGCTCTAAAAATGTTCAATATTTGCTATTTATCGCCCACCGCCCCGCTTCCATTATTAACATAGTTAATAGAGGAGATGATTTGGAAACTCATTAGCATTACAATAAACCTCACGATCTATGTTTTTGTTCAGGTTTATGCAAAAATGTGGTCTTTCATCGTCACGTGCGCAGTGGCGTAGCCGGCCCGACAATTTAGTCCCGCTATGCAAATTCAAAATTATTATCATTATTCATTTCTTTAGAAATTGATTGTTTTCACAGTCAATGAACACGAAAATATTTGCGGCATAGCGGAACTAAATCGTCGGGTTGGCTACGCTGCTGCACGTGCGTATTGTACTTTTGCTCAACCAGCCAATAGCAACGGTTTTGTCCAATTGGCCATAACATTAACAATAGGACATTTTGAACATTCCTATTGGCTGCCTTGAGAAAAATACAATACGCACGTGACGACGAAAGACCATATTTTTGCATAAACCTGAACAACATAGATAACGAGGTTTATTGTGATTATGTATTCCTTATACGAGTTTCCAAACCATCTCCTCTATTAACTATGTTATTAATGACCGGTCCCTAATTTCTGCTAGACATTTCATCGACGTAACTAAACAAGAACCAAACACGCATCGAGAGAAAATCATTCGCGAAATTTTCGTCGATGGAGGACGAAAACAAGGAGCAGCTCTGTTTGTCTAAAATTGAATACATTCATATGTTAGTTTTATCAAGCTAAATATCTAAAAAATCTCAATAAACAGTAAAGTTTATTAATAAGTCTACTCAATACTGTACACAAATTTTTGAAAGGATTTGCAAATGCAATTTTCGAGTGGAATTATTTATTATACATTTAGTAGATCTAACCAGGAGGCAGGAGCAGTTGTGAAAAAGTTTCAAACCTTCTTTGTCGACCATGCAGTTTCATTTTGTTAACCTAATCAAATCTTTAAATTTGATATGCCGATTTTCGCTAATTTTAGACACATTCCAAAATATGCTCCCCATTTTTAACATTAATATATCCGTGAATTTTTAAGTTAAATACAACTGTAATATATCAAAATCTAAGTTAGTCCTTCCTCTATTTAATGCAAGTTATTTCTCTTTAAAAACTTTACTTGTTTAGAAGTTATTACGAATCAAACAGGAGTACTTTTTTTTGGGCCACCCGGTATACGCTTTGTAATAATAATAATAATAATAATATAATAATAATAATAATATTTAATCCACATAAATACCAAATTTGATATAGAATATACATACATAAAACTAACACATATAAACCCACAAATGCACTCGAATTAAGTAAGCTAATTAAATACTTATATACTTAAAAAGTAACAATTAGTCATCAATAAATGAATAAAATGAATGATTTTTTTTACAATTAAGATTATCAATAAGATTAAAGCCCCGTTTACACTACGCTCAATTTTTTGGTACGGCACGGATAAAATTGGTACCCGTACCACTTTTTTGGTTCTTGGACTACCTATTTAGGTAGTCCTATTTAGGTAGTCCAAGAACCAAAAAGTGGTACGGTACCAAAAATTGAGCGTAGTGTAAACGGGGCTTACCTAAATAGATAGTCCAAGAACAAAAAAAAGTGGTACGGGTACCAATTTTATCCGTGCCGTACCAAAAATTGAGCGTAGTGTAAACGGGGCTTAATTCAAAGATGGGCGAACTTTGTGTTTTTGCACGACATCAAAAAATGTTGTTCGTTTCCGATCTCATGCATTTAAAGCGCAATGTTCACATAATCTGTCATATACTGAAACAGTTCCAACTATGATTGTGTGCTAAAATTCTTCATTTTGTAACAACTTGACGATGTTTAAAATTAGGAATTGAAGGAAGATATTTTTCAAAGCCTAAATTTATTTCAGTTTTTTTTTTAAATTGCTAGCTGTTGTTTCCGGTTGGCAGTATTTAAAACAACATTTGTGTAATTTATTCTTCAAATAATGACAAAAATTTCTTTGTATCTCAGAAGGTATTAGAAAAATATTAAAATGATTAACTTCATATCATGACATAATTGTAATACAAGAGTATCTGTAAATGATGAACTTTTGATGCGAAACTAATATTTTGTTACAAGTGTAGCTATTTGTATAATTAAGGGTAAGGGTATCCTGCCTATAGTTCCTCCTTTGTGTGAGTTGACATCACATATTAGGGATCGGTTGCTCACGTCACGTTTTATGTCATACGGTCACGAAGTTCAAATTGTTTACATACAAGTGATACAACTCCGAGTTTTCTGGTTCGTTAAGCTACGTTTACACGCTGCGATTTGTCGGGCCGATTTTGGTAAATCAATCGATGCCCCTTCTTCGACATTTAGCGATTTAAACGTTCAATTGAAGCTGTCCGCTCTCTCGTCTGTTCATATTATAGTTTTCTGCGTGCGAAAGGTTTTCAACAACTTTACAACGGAAGAAAAATCGTTGAATCGTGAGAAAATCTGTGGTTTTGTTACAGATTTTTCTCCCGATTTTGTGAATCGCAATGTGCTGACGCGAGTACTCACGACAGGTTGTTTACATACAGCGAGCAAAATCGGCCCGACAAATCGCAGCGTGTAAACGTACCTTTATCCGATGTATATATAATACGCACGCGCTTTGTACGAGTTAACATGTCACGTTTTATGTCATACGATCACGAAGTTTTGTGTAAGGCGTACGACACAGGGAGGGGGGCATCGGGAAATTCAATTGCTAGGAAAAGTCAAGAAAATTTGCGCAATTTTCTGCTGTCTAAAGTGTCATGTTGTCTGTACATGTATTTTCTTTGGAGTCACCATTTGCCTCCTGACAAATTGCGGGAAAATTGGAAAATGATTAAGATAGTGACTCTTGTTGATTTACATATTGTATTGACATGTTTCCACCTAAGGAAGATAAAAGGATTTGAAAAAAAAAAACAACCACTACTAGTATACCTAATACCAAGTGAAACTATTGAAACATTCATTGTTAAAAAGTACAGAAATTTACAGATTACAGGCTCCATCTTGTAATCAAAGTAACGATATTTACAAATAATTATCTCTAGCTTCAATATTTATTTTACAAACAATTGTTCGGAGCAATATTCGTTTTGTTGGTATGACATGTTAGCACGAGACAAGCGTGACTCGTGACCGGCCGGTGGTCCTTCGGCAGTTGACGGAACTCCTGTTGAGGGAGCAGTAGGTGGGAGACTGTGTGCGGACTTTTAGCACTTGCACGTGTTACAGGTCTGGGGCCGGTTGTACGAAAGGTGGATAAATCGCTATCCGGTGGATAAGTCCCTATCCAGCGGATAAATTTTATCCGGAGTGAAAATCGCGTTGTACGAAGCTTGGATAGCGCTATCCAACGGATAAAATGCACTATCCGTTGGATAAATTTATCCGAGGTCCGGAGGTAGTTTAAATCCACTATCCGGCGGATAAACTCGAAAGTTTGAAGACAAAACAATGTGTATTTCATTTAAAAAGGATTGCTATTGTGATAGAAATGGACAAATACCGTTTAGAAGTCCCTTTTTTGACACTAAATAAACATGGAAACTTACTTATGACTTCTCTTGCTCTTGACGTACCGAGCTCACTTTGAGTCACTTGCCCATTAAATAATGCCATGACTTTGCCATATTTTATGCAGACCTGTGTCAGTGCTTAGACGTTACGTTTTCTGGCTTTTTTCCTTCTTTTTTTCTGTTATATAGCTCGAAAACAAGCAATAAAACTTTCATTAAATGAGTTCCCTTCAACGCCAAACAAATATAGCTGCATATAAATAGACAACAAGGCACCGAAAGTCGAAAAATTTTGTTCGCTGGCCTTGATCAGCCAATCAAATCTTGCGAGAAAATGTTCTTAAAATTGTTTTGAATGACGTGAAAGGTCAAAGAACAAATATTCGGACAGTATATAAAATAAAACTGAATCAACGTACTGAAACAAGAAAACAAAACTCGCAGTCTTTGCTATTGCCTTCGCATAAAGAAGCCAAAAATCTTTTAAAGAAATATCGATAAGTAGATAGCAAACTCTTCACTGTGGGAAAACGAAGTATTGCAACGATTGGACGAGAAAAACTCCAAAATATAAACATGAACAAAAAACCTTTATTGCAAGTTGATAGTTCAAAGGTTAGTGGAATTCACAAGTTATACGAAGATACTACAACAAAAGTTTACAAATACCTAGCAACAGCTGGCGTAGAGATAAGAAATTTCAGGAAAATCCGGTTTTCTCCGGTTAAAATTAAGGTTATCCGACGGATAGCTATCCACCCTGCTATCCGTGCTTCGTACAACGCATTTTTATTCGGCAGATAGCTATCCATTGGATAGGAGATTTATCCATTGGATAGGACTTATCCACTGGATAACTTATCCACCTTTCGTACAACCGGCCCCTGCTTGGGAGTGATGCTCTCGAAGGCAACCGCTGCCCCGATTCATCTTTAATGAACACCCAGTGGTTTAATGGCATTTCAGCTTTGTGAGTTTAGGCTAGTCTGGGCAACCGCTTCGTACTCGCGACCAAACGGCGTCCTAGAATATCAGTAATATTTGTGAACAACAACAGCAGCAGCAACAACATTAGCAACAACAGCAGCAACAGCAACAATGACAACAAAACATAGCAACGACAACAACAGAACAACAACAACACTAACAACAGCAACACTAACAACAACCACACTAACAACAACAACAGCAGCAACCACAATAACAATAACAACAACAACAACAACAACAACAACGATAACAACCACAGCAACAATAACAACAGCAGCAGCAACCACAACGATAATAACAACAACATTAACAATAACAACAGCATCAACAACAAATAGGTTTACTTTTTCTTACCTGGATGAAAAGTCGGACAAGGAAGCCAGACACTGGTTTGTCTTGCAATGACAAATCAAAATTTTCTTATTTGCCTATAACAAACATTTTATCTAATATTCAATGCACAAAATTAGCTAATGCTTGTTCATAACGTTGTCACCCCATTATGCACATCATTGAATAACTCAGACACCTTAAGTTACTATTGTTCCACTCTAGCTAAGAAAGTTGGCATTATTATTATTTAGTATAATTACATAGGTGATTATTGAAAATTCTCCACGCTGATTGGTTGCCGTTGAGGTGATTATTACGCGATAATCACCTAAGCGATTTTCAAAATGGCGGTCGAAGCCTTTTTGTCAATTAAATGACGAAGAAATGTGTATTTTCTTATTTTTTTCCAAATAATCACCTATGAAATTATACTAAAACAATTATTCACCTCAGGCTCGGTGATTATCGTGAATAAAAACCTCGACTTCGTCTCGGTTTTTATTCACCGATAATCACCTCGCCTTCGGCGAATAATTGTTAAATATTAAATTAAACCAGAAAAATTTCAATTAAACCAGAACTAGAGTGAAAAATTTACCGGAACGGGGAGGCCTTCAGTTTCAAGACGTTCTTGCGGATCATAGCACAACACCTTCCTAGATAACAAAACAAAACTCAGAGATCGCAAGGATAATGTACAATGACGTTTTTTTTTGTAATGCGTCATACCAATACCAGAATGTGAGGCATACTGATTCACACCTGTCTTTGTGGATAAAATTCCTCACCATAAAACGAGGATGCTGATGCCAGTCGACTCTCATATAACTTTGAGCTACTCTCACGAACTCTCATCAAAATTTGAATTAGACTTTGCTCGTTTGAACGGTAATATCCAGTTAACTCGCATCAACTCTTACGCAACGCTTGTTTTGGTTTCTTCTGGCTTCGGTCTCACTATTAAGCCACGTTCAAACCGAAAATGAGAGTTGACGAGAGTTGACAGTCACGCATTGATACAGGGGACATTTTAAGCTCTAGATTAACTCGTTCGAATCGTTCTAATTATGTTTGATCGTTCTAATTATGTTTTAATTAACTTAAATAGACAACAGTGTTGGGAAAGCATTAAGAACAGTTAACCAAGGTCGCTTGACTGTCAACTCTCATTCTTGTTTGGTTCAGACTTTACTTTAGTACTATAAAGCCCCGTTTACACTACGCTCGATTTTTGGTACCGTACCACTTTTTTGGTTCTTGGACTACCTAAATAGGTAGTCCAAAAAAAGTGGTACGGGTACCAATTTTATTCGTGCCGTACCAAAAATTGAGCGTAGTGTAAACGGGGCTTAAATCACTACTATTGAGTGTTGGTGATGGCTACGTTGTGATTAGCGGACTTATTGTTCGAACATATTTACCAGGCAGATAGAAAAGACATTCCTTCCGTCAATAGAATTTCTTGTTGTCGTGATTTCTTTGCACATTTCATAAATGTTGCTCGGTCACTTTGCAGGGATAACTGAAACAATTATACCAACAATTATACCTGATTACTGTACAAATGATCAATAACAATATATTGAACACAATCAGGACCATACAATTGCAAATGGTAAAGGGAAATGCACTATACTGGTAACACAAAAAAATTATCTGTGCTTGCAAATACCTATAGTTGAAATACTTCACTATACTCTGACTAAAATTTTAAATAATTTTTATTCTGGACATAGAGTGGCTAGAGGTCTATCAGTTCTTAACCGGTCCCTGGGCCCAGCAAGGATCATCTGTTTATGGTCCAGTATTACCATCTGGAGTAAATACTTCATAAAAAAATAGTATCAGTGTTTGACTCGTTGTTTAGAAAAATAATTTCTATAGTTCATTGTCTTTTATTGTTATCATCAACCAATCACAAAACCCGTTCATACAGTTGGTGGCGACCCTACTGTCTAGGTGTTGGAGTCAAACTAGAAGCAATCTTCTCACATGCAAACTAAAGGAAAGCGACTAAACACACTCTGCAAAGCTTCTTTGATCATTAAAGTAAGAAAGTTGAAAGAAAAAATTTTCCTTGATTAAAGTATGGTTGATCGAAGTATGTGAACGTGCAAGCCTTCTTCAAAGAAATGGTTGATAAACGAAAAGTATATTATATATTCCCTTGATGCGGACACACAAACGTTTGTAGTTTAATTGTAAAATATGATAAGCAATCTTCAGTAAGTGTATCTTACATCTCCACCGATCCCTGGCAGTGTTTTCAAGTAAAATTGTTGACCAAACTTTATGATACCGCGTTCACCCGGGTCTTCACAGCTGAAAACAAGCAAACATACACTCAATGTCAATAGACAGAAAGAAAGCCAGCAGTACAAAACAGTGCACCAACATAAAAAATGGAAAATACAACAAAAAGCAGCAACTACTGTACTACAATAACGGCATGGGCAGCAACAATAACATCAGCAATAACAACATCAGTAACAACAACACTAACAACAATAGCAATAACATCAGCAACAACAATAGCAATAACAACATCAGCAACAACAATAACAATAACAACATCAGCAACAACAATAACAACATCAGCAACAACAATAACAATAACAACATTAGCAACAACAATAACAACATCAGCAACAACAATAACAACATCAGCAACAACAATAGCAATAACAACATCAGCAACCACAACAATAGCAACAACAACATCAGCAACAACATCTGAGCAACAACAGCAACAACAACATCAGCAACAACAACAATATCAATAACAACATCAGCAACAACAACAACAATAGCAATAACAACATCAGCAACAACAATAGCAATAACAACATCAGCAACAACAATAACAATAACAACATCAGCAACAACAATAACAACATCAGCAACAACAATAACAATAACAACATTAGCAACAACAATAACAACATCAGCAACAACAATAACAACATCAGCAACAACAATAGCAATAACAACATCAGCAACCACAACAATAGCAACAACAACATCAGCAACAACATCTGAGCAACAACAGCAACAACAACATCAGCAACAACAACAATATCAATAACAACATCAGCAACAACAACAACAATAGCAATAACAACATCAGCAACAACAATAGCAATAACAACATCAGCAACAACAATAACAATAACAACATCAGCAACAACAATAACAACATCAGCAACAACAATAACAATAACAACATTAGCAACAACAATAACAACATCAGCAACAACAATAACAACATCAGCAACAACAATAGCAATAACAACATCAGCAACCACAACAATAGCAACAACAACATCAGCAACAACATCTGAGCAACAACAGCAACAACAACATCAGCAACAACAACAATATCAATAACAACATCAGCAACAACAACAACAATAGCAATAACAACATCAGCAACAACAATAGCAATAACAACATCAGCAACAACAATAGCAATAACAACATCAGCAACCACAACAATATCAACAACAACATCGGCAACAACAACAACAACATCAGCAACAACAACAACAACAACATCAGCAACAACAACAACAACAACAATAATAGCAACAACAACAACAATAGCAACAAAAACATCAGCAACAAAAACATCAGCAACAATATCATCAGCAACAACAATATCATCAACAACAACATCACCAACAACAACAATAGCAACAACAACATCACCAACAACAACATCAGCAACAACAACATCAGGAACAACAATATCATCAACAACAACGTCACCAACAACAACATCTGTACAACGGAATCTAGCACAACAACAACATCCGCAACACAACAACAGCAAAAGCAAGAATAACAACAGCAACAAGAACATAAGCAACAACAACTACAACATCAGCAACAATGTAGCTACAAAAACACCAACAACAACATTAGTTACAACAACAGCAAGAACATGCAACAGCAGCAAAAACAATAGCAGCAGCTACAAAAACACAACGGGAACTGAATTTACAACAATAAAAAAAAAAACAATAAAAACAACGTGGTCTTACCTTGTAACAACAAAAACGTTTCTAACACAAGGATCTAGAAACTTAGATCCAGACACGGGGCATGGACCTTCAAGGGCAAGTGCCTCATACATTCTGCTTTCTGGCATATTTGCTGAGAGAACCACTTCTGTTTCAGGATTGAAGATTCCCACAAGATCTCCAAAGTGGACAAAGCCATCATATGATGGGGACAAGTCAATCTGATATCAAATAAAGTGAGTACAAAATTTACTTTGCTAAAGTCAATTGAAAATAGGCCGTGAGATGAGGGTCGAAAATATGCTTAGAAAACAGATTCCGTAGCACCCCTCGTGTAACTACATAATTTTTACATGAATGGATAGATTAGAACTTACTTAGTTAGAATCCACTTCCCCCCAAGCGAAATAGTTGCACAAATTGAAGTACAACCACTCCAAAGTTCATGCTTCGTCGTATTTCGAAATCCACGAACCGCCATTGTTGTGTTGCAAATACGCATGCGCTTGACCACAAAACACTTAATGCGCACGCGCAGATAACAAAAACTGATCTCAATCCAGAACTGGAGAAACCTGAACTGAAACAAGATGACGTTGGAGTGTTTTAAAAATATATGATATTTTTATGTTTTGTGCATTTTAATGGTTTTTTCCAAACATTCTGAGCAATTTACCGTGTCGAGCCCTGGCCAGGAACACTTCCAAGCCAACATTACAATAACAACTTATTCAATTTTTTTTTGTTATTTAACTTATTTTATACTACAGCAATTGCATGACGTTTGCAAGCGAATTTGTTTTCAGGCTTTAAATATTATTATAATCCTAAACATTCTAGACCACGCATACCGTAATTTCTCTATCATTTTAATAGGGGGAGGGGGAGGGGGGTAATTCTAATATGTACAAAGAGTCTGTTTGCAAATTTGATTCTCTTTAAATATGCAACATCGGGTACTGTAAATATCAGTAAAATATCATAATTAATTAATTATCTTTCAAATACAATACTTTCATGCTTCACGATTTTATACATTAATTAATTGGTTACAGGAGAAAGGTGTGGGGAATATGGGGGGGGGGAGGGGGTTGCTAAATATGAGTTTTTTATTTATAAACTTTACAATCAATAAAACGATTGAAGGTACAGACAACAGGACTGAGGAGTCCCAAATCAAGTCCTACCTACACATTACACTGACATTGTAAAACAATAGAGACAGGTTAAAACTTTAACAAAGCTACAATACAAAATTACAACACACGATCAATGCGTTCCAACCCATCTTTACACTTTCCAAAGTTAATATGGTTTGGAAAATGATCAAGTTAGAAAAAAAAAATATACATATAGATGAGTCAACATTGTGCAGCACAGACATAGTCACAGAATACAGTAAACATCCTAAACATGCATGTGCTCCAAGCTGTCCCTGCATTTTCCAAAGATAGTATTACAAGAACATAGACTGCCCGGGTGTTTTTTATCTGGGCGTTTAATTTAATTTATTCAACAGACTGAAGCAAAGACATTTTGGAAATGCAAAGACAGCTTGGAGCGCCCTCAACTATCATGAACAACAAGTAATAGAACAAGAGCGACATTTAGAACAAATGGTTTTCCATGTCCTCGGACGATCAACGTCAAAGAATGTTTCAAGTTTGACCCGGTAGTAGTTCTTCAGTTTATATTTGAGTGTGGCAGTAGAGGTGGAGGATTTCAGATCTTCAGGAAGGTTGTTCCACAGAGGCACAATTCTGTTGAAGAAGGAACTTCTGAAATAGGCAGTTCTGCAAAGGTTGGGTCTGTAGCAATTGGTTGAACTGAAGCGGGTCAGATGATGGGTAGGGTGGTCGATATAATCTTCGGGGTTTAGGTCGTAGAG